TGCTGGATATCTATTTCCTCATCCTTTTGCAGATCATGTGTGAAGAATAGTTTTGGGGATATATATTTTGTTTAATCTCCCTTAATGTATCCTTCAGTTACTTGAGAGATGCATGTTGTATTGTCTTCAAAGATGATGGTTGTATTTCCTGTTATTGCTTTCATTCCATACTCTTCTTGGATATTACTAATCATCGACCTCATCCATACATATTTTCGTCCTGCTTCATAAAGGGCTATCAACTCTGCATGATTTGAGGATGTCGCAGCCAATGTATGCTTTGTTGATTTCCATCCATGATATTGCAGTGCCGCCATAAGTGAACAGATATCCATTTTGTGACTTGGCATTTTGAGGATCTGATAAATATCCAGCGTTGGCATACCCAATGAGGGCAGCATCTTGTTTCGGTTGATAATATAAACCAAGGTCTTGTGTTCCTCCTAGGTATCGAAGTAAGTGTCGAACTCCCTTCCAATGCCTATATGATGGTGCATTGTTGTGCCTGGCTAACAAGTTCACAGAGAAAGCTATGTCGGGTCTAGTGTTGTTAGCTAAGTACATTAAGGCTCCAATTGCACTTAAGTATGGTACTTCTGGACCCAGAATTTTTTCATTTTCTTCTCGTGGTCTGAATGGATCGTTTTTCATACTCAAAGAACTAACGAACAACCATTGGGAAGTTGATTGGAGTTGCTTTGTCCATGAAGAATCTTTTCAAAACTCTTTCTGTATAGTTTGATTGATGGACAAAAATACCATGACTCAAGTGCTCGATTTGCAATCCAAGGCAAAATTTAGTTTTTCCAAGGTCTGTCATCTCAAATTCTTTCATCAAGTATTTAGCAGTTTTCTCATGTTCATTTGGGGTTCTGATGATATTCAAATCATCGACATAAACTGCAATAATAGCGAATCCTGATTGTGATCGCTTTATGAAAACACAGGGACTAATTTGGTTGTTCTTGAACCCTTCTTTCACAAGGTATTCACTGAGACGGTTATACCACATCCTTCCAGATTGTTTCAATCCATAAAGTGACCTTTTTAGTTTTATGAAAAGTAATTGTCTAGGCTTGTGGTTTTCTAGTAGTTTTCTTCCTTCAGGGACTTTCATGTAACAGTCTGTATCGAGTGACCCATACAAATACGCAGTCACTACATCCATTAATCGCATTTGCAATCCTTTTGTGACTGTCAAACTTACCAAAAATCTTAATGTAGTTGCATCAACTACTCGGGAATATGTTTCTTCATAATCAATCCCTGGGATTTGAGAAAATCCTTGGGCTACAAGCCTTGCCTTGTATCTAACTATCTCATTTTTCTCATTACGTTTTCTCACAAATACCCATTTGTATCCAACGGGTTTTACACCTACTGGTGTAAGAGTTCTTTTTCCAAAAATTCTCGTTTTTCAACTGACTTCAACTCAGCCAGCATTGCCTCCTTCCACTTTGGCCAATCAATCCTGTGTCGACATTCTTCCACTGTTCTTGGTTCAACATCATTTTCATCAGACACAATGTCGATTACGATGGAATTTGCAAATATTTCATCCACGATAACATATTTCCTATTCCACTGAGTCTTGGTAGAGACGTAATTCATTGAAATTTCATTGTTATCGATGTTTTGAACATCTTGTTCATTCCTCGTAGGGTTGTTTTCTTGTTCGTCCCATTTTGGATTATCATCATTTTCTTTACTTTCATCCACATTTTTGGTATTTCTTGACCTTCTGACGGGGGAACATCATTAGTCTCATTTTCTATTCCATCCAATCTTTTCAATTTCCTTGGTTTAGAATCTTTTGAACCAAGTGGTCTCCCAGGCTTTCGGTGTGCTTGAGATTCATTCTCAATGGCCTTATTATCAGTTTGGATTTCAATACGTGCAGGGGCATTTTCTGCTCATATATGTGATTTTGTCACCTTCTTTGTGTCAACAAATGCATCAGGCAATTGATTTGCAACACATTGTAAATGAACAATTTTCTTGACTTCTTGTTCACACATATTTGTTCGTGGGACTAACATCAACAGTTGTGTTACATTCCAAATAAGTTCTATTTCTTTCTTGCGTGGGTCCACTTTCTTTCCCCCTAAGGCTGGGAATACTACTTTATTAAAGTGACAGTCGACAAATCTAGCCATAAATAAGTCACCAGTCAATGGTTCAAGATATTTAATCATAGAGGGGGAATTCGATCAAACCCGACATAAATTCCCAGCCTTCTTTGTGGACCCATTTTTGTTCGTTGGGGTGGAGCAATGGGAACATATACAACACAACCAAAGATTTTTAGATGTGAGATACTTGGTTCTCGACCACAAACAAGTTGTAGTGGTGAGAATTTATTATAAGCTGTAGGTCTCAATCTAATTAGTGCTGTTGCATGTATTATAGCATGTCCCCAAGCAAATGATGGCAATTTTGACCTCATTAATAATGGTCTTGCAATCAATGGTAATCTCTTAATTAGTGATTCAGCTAGACCATTTTGTGTATGAACATGAGCTACTGGGTGTTCAACATCAATTCCAATTGACATACAATAATTATTAAATGTTTGGGATGTAAATTACCCAGCATTGTCGAGTCTTATTTTCTTTATTGTATGATCTGGGAATAGTTCTCTTAATTTGATAAACATTTCTACTTGAAAGCAAACTGACATGTGACCATCGTGTAGAGGCATCATTTAAAATCATGAAATATCGAAATGGTCCACATGCCGGATTAATTGGCCCACAAATATCTCCCTGAATTCTTTTCAAGAATTTTGGAGACTCAATAGCAATTTTGTTCATAGATGGTCTTATTATTAATTCGCCAAGTGAACATGTAGAGCATGTTAATTCATCCGATCGAGGAATTTTGACATTTCTTATTGAATGTCCAACTGAATTTGCTATTATTCTTTGCATCATCCCAATTGCTGGATGTCCCAAATGATCATGCCATAAAATAATCAAATGTTTGTCATCTAACTTCTGATTATATATCATATTGATTTCCACGGGTCGTATGTTTATACGATATAACCCCGAAGAATATGCTGGCAATTTCTCATAAATGTGTTTCTTGCCATATTTTTCTGCCGTAAGGCATAAATACTCCTTTTGACCTGTTGTCATTGTTTTTAAATGATAGCCATTTTGGCATACATCTTTAAAACTTATGAGATTTCTTCTAGATTTACTTGAATATAAAGCATTATTGATTATCAATTTTGTTCCATTTGGAAGCATTATACAAGCCTTTCCAGATCCTTCAATTAATTTTGCTGACCCAGAAATAGTGTTTACATCTGCCTAAAACAACTTTAGTTGTGAAAAATATTTTCTATCCTTCAAGATAGTGTGTGTTGTTCCACTGTCCAAAAGGCACTGATATTCGGAACCAACTTCAGGCATATCCATATCTTCATAAAATAAATATGAGATTAGTTTAGAATAATATCATACAAACTTTTATTGAGGATAGAAATTAAAAATTCATGACTAGACATTTAAAAATATACATAGTGACCTTTTTTAGGTTTATGGCTAACCTTTTTAGCTAAAATGGTTAAGCTTTTGATTTTTTTTAAAAAAATAAATTAATTTAAAAAATAAAATAAAATAAAAAAAGGCCAGCCACCATCAACTACCACCCTTCCTCCCTGCCACCACCAACCCCACACCCGCCGGCGCCCTGACCCACCCTCGCCGGCGTGCAGGCCTTCCCAGCCGTCACCAATCCCCCTAAACCACCACCCCATCCCCGAAACCCCCTCATTCTCTCACCGAAACTCCATTAAAAACCCTTCCCTCACCTCGAAAACCCCAATCGGCCCTTCGGCACAAATCCAGCTCTGGCTTTGTTCAGTGAATAAAACAGGGGTAGGGGTTGGGGAGGGAGGGGTTTTGGAAAAGTTGTTTCGGGGAGAAGGGGAGGAGCGACGGCCGACAATAGGGGTGGGGGAAGGAGGAGGTTGCAGTTGGTGCCGGATTTCGCTCTGTAGTGACAGTAGCCCAGCGTGGGTGAGCGTATATTCCGGCAGACGTGTTCAAGAGTTGAAACCCAGGTGGTCGGTGAAGTGACGACGGCTGGGAAGGCCTGCACGCCGGCGAGGGTGGGTCTGGGCGCCGGCGGGTGTGGGGTTGGTGGTGGCAGGGAAGAAGAGTGGTAGTTGATGGTGGCTGGCCTTTTTTTTTTAATTTATTTATTTAATTTTTTTAAATTAATTTATTTTTAAAAAATAATTCAAAAGGTTAACCATTTTAGCTAAAAAGGTTAGCCATAAACCTAAAAAAGGTCACTATGTATATTTTTCTAAACCTTGGTGCCACTGAAGAGAGTTGGAAAAAAGTTCGTCTTCCACGTAGAATTTTTAAAACCACGAGGCCACCAAATAGAATATCCCTAAAAGAAAATACATTAAAACATAGTATATATTACATTAGTAGATGGGTTATCTAAGTAGTGTTATTTTCTCCAAAGATGAAATCATTTCCAATTTGAGCATTGTCCATGAAAAAATCGGACACATCAAGGGTAGGACATGGAGCATTTTCTTTATTAACATAATTTGCTTCTGTATTTTTCTCTTTGCCTTTTACAGAAGCCTGGTAAAGGTCCACCAAATGTTTGGCCGTACGACAAGTACGTCCCCAATGCCCTGTCATGCCACATCTGTCACATGGTCTTTTCCTTTTGAAGGAGTTTGTTTGTGGCTTCCAGATGACTGTCCCTTCTGTTTTTCAGAATTTTTGAAATTACTGTTTCTTTGAAATTATGTCTACCACGTCCTCGGCCTCGTCCGCGATAATTTCCACGACCTCTTCCACAGCCATTGTAATATCCACGTCCACTTCTCCGTGTAGCATTTGCCTCAGGTGGATAAGAACTTGTTGCATTTGCCTCATGATGATTGGCCAAAGATCCAGTTGGTCTAAGATTATGATTTTTCAACAAAAGATCACTATTTTGTTCCGCAACAAGCAATACACTCATTAATTCATTAAACCTTTTGAAACTCTTTCACGATATTGTTCCTGCAACCATATGTTGCTTGCATGAAAGGTAGTGAGTGTTTTTTCAATCATCTGTTCATCAGTGACTGGATGATCACAGTATCTCAATATAGATACTATCTCATGTATGGTTGAATTGTAATCAATTACAGATTTGAAATCCTGGAACCGTAAATTTGTCCAATCAAATAATGCATTAGGAAGGAGCACCCTTTTGTGGTGTCCAAATCTTTCATTAAGGCAATCCCATAATTCCTTGGGATCTTCAACCATCATGTACTCAGTTTTAAGGCCTTCATGTAAATGATGTCTTAGTAACACTAAGGCTTTTGCCTTTTCTTGTTCAATTACAGGTTTTACAACCGTCATTGCAGAAGTGGTAGCATCAGTTGTTTGACCAGAAGGACTTTTATTATTTTTAACAGTGTGCTCCAACCCTTGAGCTTTTAAATTCATCATGGCATCCACTTTCCATTCCAAAAATTTCTTTCTAGATAAATTTAGGATGCTGAATTGTATTTTCATAAGATCTCCCATTTTAACTATAACAAATAACGTGATAATTAGTTTATAATAATAAATCATATGTACAACACATATGTTTAATTCTTCCATATTTATAGTTAATTGAAACACGTGATAATTAAATTTATTTAATAATAAACCATAAATAATGTAGTTCTTTTCTCCCCCTTGGTTTATTATTGTGAGTAATTATATTATTAGGCAAAAATAAATCATATTAGTCGCATAAACAGCAAAACGACAACAACAACATTAGTAATAATAATTATAATAATAACGGTAATATTATACAATGATGATAATAACAACAAAACAACATAATAAAACAAAAACATGCTTTTAATTTACTAAAACGACAAAATAAACAAACTTCACTTGTACATCATGAAAAAAATTAATATTGCTACTAACAGAACTACAAGCGCCATAATTAGAAGAAAATATTGTTTTATCTTCCTTAAATCTTCCTCAAAAGTGAAGGTGTGGGTGTTTTGGTTGCCGTCGTCGGGGAACATATTGGAGAAGAAGGGGTGAAATTTTATTTTATTTTATTTTTTGGGTGATATTTGGATTAAAAAAATGGGAAAGGATAAGGGATTTATGGTGAAATCAGGGAAAAAATCTGTCTTTTATAGAGGTAGGTTTATTCGTTATTATTCTGTACAACTGTAAAAATATCATATAATAGTCTAATGTACTGGCAAAAATTATGGTCCAAAAATAAATATTTATAATTGTAAAAGGTTATCACACAAGGAATGCAAGCCATAGTAGTCCGAGAGCCCTAATATCTATAAAAGATCATGGGTTCGAAAACGGAAGGAAACACAAAAAGTACATAAAAGAAAGAAAATAATAAGTATAAAAGGCTGCATCTTTTTGTCAATTTATTTAATAATATGCATGCAAAGTTACCACTAAAATCAAATTTTACGTAAAAGATGAGCATGTAATATCAACATGCATGGATCAAACAATAAACATCAACATGAATAAAACAAGGGAGAATAGTAATGAATTTATAAATAAGAGAATTTCTCCACCGTTGTTATAATCAGGTCGGGTCATTTTCAAGTCGGGTCATTCTCGGGTTCAAGTCGGGTTCGGTTCAAGTCAATTATTTGCGGGTTACAATCAGGTCGGGTCATGTTCGGGTTCAAGTCGGGTTTGGTTCAAGTCAAAAAATTGCAGGTTATAATCAGGTCGGATCATTTCCAAGTCAGGTCCTGTTCGGATTCGGGTCTCAAATATTGGGTTAATCTGGGTATCGGGTTGATTTCAGGTCGGGTCATATCAGGTTCGGGTACATTTTTTGGGTCGGTTTGTTAACAATTCATGTAATGACATTCACGTTTAATCATTATCAATTACTTCATTTTTGTAAGAGAAATAATTTCAGATAAGTTTAAATTCGAGGTAATAAGATCTACATAATAAGTTCACATTAATTCCAATAAGATAGGTTTAGTTTAGATTTTTAGAAGATAAGTTCAAACCCTATCATAATCTATTCACATTGATTCCACTCATTTTAGCGTTAACAATTTCAGACAAGTTCATATTCGAGATGACATGCTTAGATAAAATACAATAAGTTCATATAAATTCGGATAAAATAGGTTTAGTTTAGATAAGTTAAAATACAATAATTTTTTTTTCTAAACTTATTTTATTTGAAATTATTAAAAATTGTTTATTTTTTATAAGTTCATATTCGAGTTCACGTTTTTTTTAATGGCATTTTTTTCTAAACATTTAATGGCATTATTCAAAACATTTAAATAAGATTAAATAAGTAAATGAATAATAAAATTAGAAAAATAAAAGACCAATAAAAGCCTTTTAACAGCTCTAGTTCGGGTCATCACTTTCTCGAGTCCAAACAAGTCAAGTCATGATCGGGTACAGGTAAATTATTTGGGTCAGATCATCATCGGGTCATTGTCATATACTCATGCTCGCATTCAATAATTATCACGTTCAATTCAATCATTATCCGAAATTATTATTTTTTTCAACTTTTTTTTATCTGATTTTTTTTTTCTAAAATATATGATAAAACAAACAAGCCTAAGGTCAAATAGTATTTGTAAACCGTAATTGACTACATTAATGCACATGCACCTACAAAGTAGTAGTATTCGTAAACCATAATTGCTTAATTGAAATATAGAATGAACTTGCACCTAAAAAGTAGTAGTATTCGTAAATCGTAATTACTAAATTTAAATAAAGAATGAACATGCATCCAAAAAGTAGTGGTATTCATAAATTTTTATATTTTTTTTAAGACATATAAATTGTAATACATTTGATAATAGAGAATTTTATTGAAAATATTTGAATAAGCTTAAATAGGAAAATAACTCATAGAATTAGGGAAAAAAATAAAAAATAAAATAAAAAGATATGACGTAATCCTAGATTGCTAGTTAATTTCGGGTCAATAACAAGTCGGGTTGATTTCGGGTCGGGTTAGTGACAGATCGGGTTGAATTTCGGGTCGGGTTAGTAATAGGTCAGGTTAAATTCGGGTCGGGTTAGTAATAGGTCGAGTTAAATTCAGGTCGGGTTAGGAATAGGTAGGGTTAAATTCTGGTTGGGTTAAATTCGGGTTTTGACGGGTTAAAACGGGTTTGGGTCAATTTCGGTTCAGGTCAGGTTCGGTTCAAGTCAATATTTTACGGGTTATATTCGGGTCGGGTCATCTCCAGGTCGGTTCATGTTCGGGTTCGGGTCTCAAATACTCTGGTTAACTCGGGTCTAGGGTTGGTTTCAGGTCGGGTCATATCGGGTTCGGGTCATCATTTTTCCGAGTTTAGACGGGTCGGTTAATAATCGGGTTCGGGTCGGTATTTCGGGTCGGGTCAGCTTTTGACAGCTCTAAAGTAGAATGGATGAAAATTATTTCATTGCGTGTTTTTACTATGTGAATGGAGTCCCTATATATAGGAACAATATTACAATATAATATTGAACATTATTGTACTTTGTGCATATAATTGCCTAAATGCTACATACATGCATGTGAACTTCATTTTTGTTTTTATCCTCAACAAAAGAAAAGAACTAAAAATGAAACAAATACATGAATGACAAGCTTCGAACCCCAAAACACAAGGCTAATTAAAATACCACTGTAACAACCTGCTATAACCATTGAGCTAGTTTGTTAATTTGTCTAACATATATGAAGATTAATTTATATAGCTTAAGTATTTTTCAATGAAACTGAGATTTTGATTTGGGGGCCCCGAGCGACCGCCTCGGCTGCCCTGCCTAGCTACGGCTGTGTGCATTATAACGTTGCGACCACAATTCTTTAAAAAAAGTATTACGTGGCGCCGTTCCATTAAAAGAAAAGCCTAATATTGCGATTAATTTAAAACAGATGGTATAACATCAACATCAAAATTTGATTACTATTTTTTTATTTCAAGATTCTCGATCCATCGGCCATATTGTTCAAGATTGCGAAACCCCACATTCGATTGCCAATTCAATCAACCATATTACTAAAATAAGGACTTTCAAGAGGTTATATAGCTACCAAAAAACGTGGGCAAAGTAGCAAGTTCTTCTATAGAGGTGAAGAGCTTCTCACTACCCACTTATCCAATCTCTCTCCTCTCTACGTTACCCGATTATTCAACGGTTCTATAACTGCACGCATTCAAGAGTTTTGAACCAGTAATTTCTGGGTTTCTTGTTGAATTTAATTGGGTGTTTGAAATTAATGGTGGGTTTTTGAAAAGACTCAATTTTGAAGAAGTATAAAGAAAGAGGAGAGAGAAAATTAGATGGGATTTGGTGAAGAAATTATGTTTGGGGGTGGTGATAATTGTGATGGATTGAGAAGTTTTGTAAGGAGAAAACGTGTGGATTCAGAAAATAGCAACCACAATTCTTCTTCAACTGGTGGGCACCAATTAGCTAAAGCTTTGACTGTTCCTCATCTTGTTGCTATTGGTAATTTCATTTTCCTTTCTTTAAGTTTTGTTATGGTACTAAATTTTGAGATGTCAATTCAAGTTCTGTAATGTTTTACTTGAATATGACCTTGCTTTATTGCTGACAATCATTCATCTATATCATGTATGAAGTAGCGTTACCGTGTAGAACTCTGTTATAGTAGTATAATTTCGTAGTATATATTTTCGATGTAGAGAGTGGACAAAGGGCACTGATGTAGACGGGATTTATTATATGGTTTTGGGTTTTATCAATAAGGCTTTAACCAAGCAAACTAGTTGGTGTTCACATCATATTTAAGTAATTGATTGCAGATTATAGGCATAGCAATAGTCATATAGATACGTAGTATTTCAATTACTACATATGATGCAAGAGTGAGGTGGTATTCGAACTGGTTTTGGGGGAAGAGAGTGTTCAATTACTCAAGTTGAGGATTTTGCTACTTGTGATTGTAGGCTGTGTCTGAAATTACTCGAATAAGCATATACTAAGTAGATATATGCTTATAACAGCTGGCGTTAGTCTAAAGGAGATGGCATATTATGTATAAGTGTTTCATAAGTTAGCCGTTCACGATTAGTAGTTTGCTTTTTGGATGTGTAAGCTGATTCATATGGAAAGGTATAGCATAAGGTAAAGTAACATTTTAAGCGATAATAGGGCTATGATACTTTTGGTCATTCTTATGCAGTACCCCCTGCGTATATAATTGTGAAGTAAGCTGAGTATTATAATGTACAGATAGGTGAAATTGGGAATTAGATATGATGATAAAAGGTGAGTGGGAGTATTTTTTATTCAAAAAAATGTGAGTATATGCGAGGACCATGGGAAGATAGAGAAATAAATTTAATGAAGTAGCAAGTGGGGTTAATGGTAAAAGAAAAAAATAATTAATCATAGAGGGATATTTCCATTTAAGTAATGCACTTATTCAGATACAGAGGGAGTATGTGAGAGTGTGTTATATATGTGGTTTGGTATCCAATGTTAGAGTATGGAAGCTCATGAATGTTATGGGTGAAACACTCCTTGTGTCGATGTCAAGGTAGTTGTAAAAGTAATGACAGGTAAAACCGTAAAAGACCCTTAAGAACATGGGAATTTGACAAAGAAATAGATTTAAAACTCTACAAAGGATGGAACTCCCAGTAAGCTCCTATACTGCCCAAACCCTTTTTGAATGAAATCATGAATATTCCTAGAAAAGCTATCATCATCGCTCAGCCAAAAGAAAGATGAATGAGGATGATTTGCAGTTGACAATCTTTAAAGAGAATGGAAACCTTTCGAATCCTCTCAAATAACAAAGTGCTCTACTTATCTATGCTACATTTGACCAGGAAACAAAGTGAGCCCTTCAATTGAACTTCTGAGAGGTTGTGAGGAACCATTTGGCACAAGTCATTTGGTTTGGTTGTATAAACTTCATTGCGCCTTTTGCAGATAGAGTTTATGAAGGTTGAAGGCAAAGGGAGCACACAATTTTGTGGCAAAATGCTTATGTGGGTGCTTTGGCTTGAGAGGATGATATGCTGGGTTGTGGTTGGGACTTTGAGAGTATTCTTTGGTTAATTTATGGAAGCATGTAGTGTATTTAGCTTCTCTTTGGTCTCATGATCATGGGGCATCCTTTGACATGTCCCATTCTGATGTAATGATGCATTGCAAGACTGGAATTTGTTTTCTTTTTCCTTGATTACTGGCTGATCTTATCCTCTTACTTTGTATCATTTTCTTTTCTGTTACATACACATGGAAAGTGGTAGTACTATACATCTAATAGTTACACTAAAGCTTTTGGTTTGTTGTGCTAGGTGTTGGTTCAACTATTGGAGCTGGCGTTTATATACTTATTGGCACAGTTGCAAGAGAGCACTCTGGACCATCACTTGCTATTTCTTTCCTTATAGCTGGTATAGCAGCTGGCATTTCAGCCTTTTGTTATGCAGAGCTTGCTAGTCGATGTCCTTCTGCTGGAAGTGCTTACCATTACTCCTATATATGTGTTGGGGAAAGGTGATAAATAAGTAAATCTTTTGTTCTGAAGTATCTTTGTAGAGTTTAAACAAGGTTTTGCAAAAATAAGCTTATGATCTAAAGGTGGCTTATATTTTAATTCACAGTGTTGCTTGGTTAGTTGGTTGGGCTTTGATTCTGGAATATACTGTCGGTGGCTCTGCAGTTGCTCGTGGTATCTCGCCAAATCTGGTGTGTTTCATTTCTTTTTCCTATAATGCCTGAGATACTTAGCCCCAGAACTGCACTGGCAAGCTGTACAGTACTTTAATTTAATGTATCTTTTCAAGAACTGTATTATGATCCTCATCTTCATGGTTGTTACTTGCAATGCAAGCAGATTATTTTAAGATGTCCCTTGGCTCCATTCTGTTATGTTGAAAGCTGCATCATTTTTTGTAACCAACAGCAGTGCAAACTGTGCTGTAGCTCTGTCACAGGGTTTGATTATGTCAGCTTATTGGTGGAATTTTGTGGACCTGACCCCTTATTTTGCATTTGATTTATGTTAGGCGTTGCTCTTTGGTGGTGAGAACAGCCTGCCTTCCTTTCTGGCCCGCCAATACATTCCTGTTCTGGACATCACAGTTGACCCTTGTGCTGCTGTACTTGTATTAGTCGTCACTGGGCTTCTATGTGTTGGGATCAAGGAGGTATGCAGTTCTCTTTATCAATTCTGAATGCTCTCTCGTCTCTACTTTAACTTAATCTCTGTATGGTTGTAAAAGCTAATATAATTAGACATTATTAACTTTTGCAGAGTGCTTTTGCACAAGGCATTGTCACGTCAGGAAATGTATGTGCTATGATGTTTGTTATAATTGCTGGTGGGTATCTTGGATACCAGAATGGATGGCCTGGATATGATCTATCTACAGGGTAATAATTTTATCATGTTCAAATCTACTTCTAATATGTCATCTTAGGCCATTGACAATAACCATTTATACCCTCCCCTTGTTCTAGATTCTTTCCATTCGGGGTGGATGGAATGCTTGCTGGCTCTGCAACTGTCTTCTTTGCATACATTGGCTTTGATTCAGTGGCAAGCACTGCTGAGGAGGTAGTAGCCGTTGTATATTACCTGCTAGTTTTTGTTCAAAGAAATGTTTTGATATTGCCTCCTTGCTCAAAGAATGTGAAAGATAATTTTTTTTTTTTTTTCTTGGCAGGTGAAACATCCCCAAAGGGATTTGCCAATAGGAATAGCTGCTGCACTTTCTATATGCTGTGCATTATACATGTTGGTTTCTATTGTTGTCATTGGTCTGGTACCCTATTATGCTATGGATCCCGATACTCCTATATCTTCTGCATTTTCAAGTCATGGGTTGCACTGGGCAGCGTAAGTTGTATTAGATGTGTCTTTCACATATATTTGCATCACAATTACATGCGACACAGGACAAGCTTTTTAAGAATTTTTTTCTTAAAAAAAAATCCATGTACAGATATATCATTACTGTCGGAGCAGTTACAGCTCTCTGTTCAACATTGATGGGTTCACTTCTGCCCCAGGTAAGCTACTACTTTTAGGTTTTTTCTTTTCTTGGAGCCTGAAAGATAGCATAAGTTTATTGAAATCTTCTGTAAACATATTGTTATCATTGAAAAACATTATATATGTTTCTAATAAATCCGTCTTTATTGTTTCAGCCACGAATTCTCATGGCAATGTCTAGAGATGGTTTGCTGCCATCCTTTTTCTCAGATGTCAGCAAAAAAACTCAGGTTCCTGTGAAGAGCACTATAACTACCGGAATCATTTCTGCACTGCTTTCTTTTTCTATGGATGTTTCACAATTGGCAGGGATGGTAAGTTTTTTCTTATAAACCTTTTATAAATAGATATGACTGGTTTGTCTCAATTTGTGGTGGATAATTTCTAAAGTTTTCAAGTTCTTTGGCATAGCTTCAATTAGCATGACATTGTCTAACGCTGTGTGTACATGTTAGAGACTATAAATCCATTGATCTATTAGATGTCAGATGGGTTTTGTCATACCCCAAAAATGTAGCCAAACTAATTTGTTACATTTGTGGTGCAGGTCAGTGTCGGTACACTACTGGCATTCACTATGGTGGCTATCTCACTTCTAATAATAAGATATGTGCCACCAGATGTGGTGCCACTTCCGTCATCACTTCAGGATTCTATAGATGCTGTTACATTGCGATACAATGACTTTACAAAGGATTTTGGCACTTCTGAGGATATTGCCAAACCACTACTTGGTGGAGCCACCGTGGAAGCCAGTTTTCCTTTGCTTTTGAAGCAAGTAGCTGATGGCAGTTGTAAGTTCATTCAACATAGCACTTTCCTCTATCTTGGTAGGGTTTGGTTGATAAATGTTTAAGATTGGCTAGGATAGTTGACTAGGTTTTGCTATAGAATAATCTAAACTTCAATCTTTCTGGTAAGAACATGGAACTCTATCAAATGACAAGGAGAAAATCAAATTACTTTTTGAGTTGTATTTTACTCTTGATCTGTGTCCAAAATTGTTTGTGATATCTATTTCACATTTTTCAATCAAAATCCTGTAGTGATTTGATAATTCGACAGATGCTCTAAGTGATGACAATAGAAGAAAAGTTGCGGGTTGGACTATCATGCTTACTTGTGTTGGAGTGCTGCTCCTCACTTCTTCTGCTTCTTATGTAGGCCTTCCCAGGTATGTGATATGTTTTTGAAATCCTTGTAATCGGGTATTCTCCATCATATTTATTAGATTTTAGAGCTATGCCTCTGTATTGTCTCATTTTATCTGAAACAATCTTAACATTTTATTTAACATTAAAATATTATCACCTTTCATCCATCAATATATAGTAATGATAGGCATCATGTACATAAGTTGCAATGCCATTGTTTGAACATTTTTCAATGACATGTCAATTATTAAGAATCAAATTTGGGTACTTAAAATATGTTTTGATAAGTAGATAATCTAAGGACATTATGGTCACTGTACTCCCTTTACATTTAAGAATTCTGTCACTAAGATAAGTAATGAGGTATACCATTTATATAAACCATGTACATCTTACGATCTAAGAGCTGCATATGAATATCAATACAATTTCTAAATTGATAATAATTTAGAAATGCTTGATTAAAACATGCATTGATCAATGGTAATAATGTTTGATTTAAACTAAATACTTCACTTTTAGCTTTATAAAATTGTTGTTGTGTATCATTTTCCTCGTAAAAATACAAAGGTACCATGAGAAATTGCAAAATCCTTAAGGGTGCTACCCGGTACTTCTGAACAATTATACATAACATTACCTACATAGTACACAGAGAAGGACCAATATAAATAAATAAATAAATAAATAAAGAATAAAAAAAAAGGAAATTTAAAAAAAATAAAGAGAGGGGAGTTTTTTTGGTGGGGGGGGGGGGGAGATAAAAAGAATTAAAAAAAAAAGGATATTTTAAAAAAATAAAGAGAGGGGAGTTTTTTGGGGGGGGGATCTTGGTGGGGAAACATCATAAGTGAGATTTATTTTTGTATAGAATTTTGATTTCTAGTCATCTACTATACTATTCTATCGCACAACAATTAGGCTTGCAGCATCCATTTCTAATTAAAGCAACAATAGGCTTGGGACATAGTTTTAGAAAAATTACAGGGTGGGAACCAAAGTGACGATTTAGTAATAAAAAGTATAGTTGGTAGGGGGATATTTAGTTGTTAGTGGTTGAGAGATAATAAATTAATAGTGGGTTATTACCAAATAAAGAAGTGTTGCAAAACTTGCAATTAATCAAAAACTAAAACAAGAAAGTGTTGCAATTAATTAAAATCGGAGAAAGCATATGGTACGAAATATTGGTTGTGAAGCATTGTCACGTTCATAAGATGAATGTGGCAGAGTTGTGTATACTGCATTGGATGTGTGGCCATGCAAAAAGGATCGGTTGAGGAAAGATATAACTATTAGGAAGAAAGTAGGGTTAAATCTATTGAGAACAAAATGAGGAAGAATCGCCTTAGGTGGTTTGGCCATGTAAGACGGAAGAGATCGGGTGAGACTCTAGTAAAGAGGCTTTAAAAGTGGCAAAGTGATGGGATCATGAGGGGTAAGTGAAGACCTAAGAATACATAGAGGAGACTAGGAGAGTAATTGAAATTGATATGTATCTTATGGGGATTGATAAAATGATCCGTTGGATAGAGTGGAGTGAAGGGAGAAAATCTACACCGAGGACATATCATGACCTTTTATATATAACCTTTGTGTGTGTGTGTGTGTGCGTTTGCGTGCGCATGTGCATGTGTGCACTTTTTTGTGTTTTGCAAATTCTATTTATTTCCTTTGTTAAGCTTCTCTCAAACTTTTAAGTGTTTACCCGCATGTTTTTCCTCTCTTTTTATCTTCCCTTTGCCCCCTTGTTTAATACTTTCTCGAAACTTATTTTTATACTCTCTTTTTGGATTTCCGTTCTCCATAGCCCTCCTTCCCCAACAGTGCTTTGCTAACTATTTTTTCCTCGTTTTACGTCCTTTATCATTGTATCATTTTCTTTCTTTATTACATAAATTGCAGACGGTTCCTTATGATGATTCCTGTTAGCTGATCCCAAATCATTTTGGGACTAATGCTTTAATTATAGTACTATTCTAATTTGGTTTTTTCATCAGCGTGTTTCGATACACATTGTGCGGGGTGGGTGGTGGTCTTCTTCTATCTGGTCTGACAGTGCTCACTTGCATTGACCAAGATGATGCCAGACACAGCTTTGGCCACACTGGAGGTATGTGCTCAAAAAAAATAAATGCAAATAAATATTTCATTGCAAAATAAAATATTTTATTCTTGGACAATAAAAGGGCTTATTGTGCGGGTAAGTATGAAAAGTAAAAGGCAAATTGGCTATCACAGCAGTGCCCGTGGCCAGTGACTCATAATGAATTTTGATGCTAAAAATTAAAAGGGGTGTGTACAGTGCAATGCTTATCTGCTGAATTAAAAGCATTTCTGTTGGTACCCAGAAATTTAATTGAAAATGGTGGTTAACTCCTTTTATCCAGGTAATAGTCAAGTATATTACTAGAATTTATTTACTCTCCTCTCCCATTTTCGTTCTTCCTTGATCAATAGATCCTTGGATATATCCTGCCTGTATAAACTTGTAATAGTTTTAACTTTACATTGATTGTACAAGTGAAGCTTTGTCTATTGCTTTCAATTATCAATAATCTGCCTGAAATGTTCTTCCAGTGCTTATAAGTCGTTTGTTTGGACTGCCATGGCCATCAAATTTCTAAATCATTTGCGATATTTGATTATGTGTTCTTCCAGGTTTTATCTGCCCACTGGTTCCTCTACTGCCAATTGCCTGCATTTTGATCAATGTCTACTTGCTGATAAACTTGGGGTAAGTACTACTTTTCTCATTCTCATACATTTCAATTTATATGTTGAATCAAAAAGTTGAAGATCATTAACCTATTGAAAGATTTATAAATTTAAAAATTGGATGTCTTCTATTACTTAATATAATTACCAATTACCTATTGAAATATTTGGAGTAATAAATTAATTGCTTAAGCATGACTGTGAATTTCTTTTGACTGGTTCAGAGCTGATACTTGGATGCGAGTCTCAGTGTGGCTTGTAATTGGGGTGCTTGTTTACTTAGTGTATGGAAGGAGACACAGCTCCCTAAGGAATGTAGTGTACGTACCAACAGCTCATGTCGATGAGATATGCAGTAGCTCACAGGATATTTTGGTGTAGCCTTCTACAGCCAGCAGGCGGCTTCTTGTGCTTTAAATGTTTTAGGTGTACACTAGTTTGCATTGTTCCATTCATTTGCAATAGTTGTTACAGGGGGCAGTTTATTGTATCCGCTGCTGGCTGTATATTGTGTATACATGTATCAAATTGTTACAAAGGTTTACCGCTTACAAAAATGTAAATATGTAATCTTTAATGCGAATTCTCATCCTACATTCAATTTCTAAGTTATTGTTTCTCTATTGATGCCTAAGGTATGTCTTAAACTGTAGATACAATAATTGACAATGCAGCAAAGACCCTATTATGAATGAAGGATTGACATATACAATATATATGCAACTTATTCAAACTTGTTCATTTAGGATTCATTATTATTGGGTTTTTTCTCAGTATTTTCAGTTTTCCAGCATTCATCGCTCTTTAAACTAACTTGAGGAAGTTTTGATTTGACTTTGAATTGAACCCGATCAGCCTTAGGTCTCTACATTTGCAAATGTAATTTCTGTTACGCTGAATTAGAATTAGAATTTACATTATCTCCAGGTAAAATGAGAACATACTCGTCATTTACAAATGAAAAATTATTGATATAGTTGCTACAATGCAGAAAAAGATCAAGAACTACAAAAACGAGTTGATGAACAGCACAAGTCTTGGTAGATTTTCAAGAGCTACTGTAAAAATCCCACCCAGTAGAAAAATGAAAAGAAGAGCAACAAATATCTTCAAAATGTAAAGATAATTGATAGTTGGCTCTGAATCTTGTCTCTTTGCTCCAGCATTTAATTCCTGCAAAAGTTATGAACCAGAACATTCAAATCAGGCTTCAGTACAAAACTGTAATGACAGAATACTCATCTCGACAGTGATTTAATTATTAATTAATTAATAGTCCTTCCGTCCCTACATAGTAACACGTAACTCACTTACATAGTCAAAAGCTATTAAATTTGACAAGGAAAACTACGGGGTACTCCATATTTAATTATTTAGTACTTAACTATGGGATTGATTGTGAATACAATACTCTCTTAGATTTACTTTTTAAAATTTGTATTTCATCTCTAACAGTTCTGATTTAAAAATATGTTAGCGAGACAATCACAGTCCAAATGGAAAGAACTTTTAGAGATACAGTCATACGGGTAGTAACTTCTGTGACGGTACAATAATAGTTTGGCCACCAAATATCAAATGCAGCCTATTTTTTGGGAAGCTAAATAGTAAATCATATAAATCAAATCAAGACCAAGGTTAGTAGGTTACCAACTTACCACCGACAGTACCTGAAGATAGATATTTTCCTGAACATGCTGCTTAGATTCACAGATATTTTCAGACATTAATCAAATTATTAATCCAAAACATTCCTGTTTAGATGAATTCCATTATCTAAACTGAGGATGATAAAAGTATGACATTTTGTCTAGTCTCCTAACAAAAGACAACAAATTTCATCAAAATGCAGGCCAAAATCAGCATTCTAAGATTCGTCCAATGGCTTTGCTCTAGGTTATACTTAAGAAATAATGAACTCTTAACAGCAGTACAACAATGCTTCTTCATCAAATGTCTTAAGTTTCATAGATCAAAATCCTATCGTTTTCCAATCAGCTGACAAAGAATAAATACCAATACCAGTCTGCAACATGATGTTATATTTTTACAACACGGATGAAACATGAAAGGGGTTCTTTCAAGCACATTATCCTACACAAGGTCCTTCTGATCTGTTTCCTTACATGTTCTTCCTTCTACTTTTTATTCAGAAACATATGATTTGTTTCATAAAGGTCATTTTGTCTATAACAGAATCTGCAAGACTGAGTATAACTTGGATATTGTACATGACTACATGGGCACTTGTTGCCCACCGATATGATTCAGAATAAAGGAAATTGAAAGTCTTTTCTCTGATCTTCTCCAAGCCAATCAAAGCAACACATACATTTTTTTTTTTTTCCGCCTAATCTTTATTCGAGGAACTGATTTAGAAAAGAGAAGTCGATAATACTATCTTAGTCTATTCTATGGTCTTCTCAGTTTTAAATTCAAACAAAGGAGCATCTTATCACACGATGTGCAGGAAAAAACATGTCCTTTGAGAGGACAAGGACAACACTACCACAAAAGTTCAAACAACCTTTTTGTCCAGCGAAATAGTTATTAAATCTGAGGAGGGTAGGGTAGTCAGGATTGTAGGAGCAACAGCACTAAATCTTGTCCACAAAAGACCTGTCATAGGAAAATCCAAAGAACAAGAGTTGGCCTCCTAATTCTGTTGTGATTGGATGGTGGAGCCTCCCAAGCTCATAAGTTTTTTTATTCAGACCAAGCTCGTGTAATACTTCGTATGCTTTTTAATGGAAGACAAAAGATAAAATTCTGAAGTAAATTATCTACAACTGATATTGCAGTAAATCCAGCAGCATCATAGTGTTACAAAGCTTACTACTTCCTATAAAACACTTTCATGCTAATAACTTAATCATTAAGCTCAGCAGAGACTATTAGTAAAAACATCACTAATAGGGTGGAGCAAAGCTTAGTCTGGGGGTTCCAACAACTTTGTTCCAAAATATCTATTTCTTAAGGTTTTTTGCTTGATTCTTACGGGAGCAACAAAAGAAAAGAATAAGTGGCTTCATCAATATTTGAAGCTTCATTTCATTCAAAGATATTCAATTGCACAAGTCACAGACTCACAGTGGTTTTCACATAATAGTGCTTGGTGGCCTGGTGCTATTCTCAGAGAGTAAGATCTCAAAATTTCCAAAATAACTTTGACACGAGCAATTGATTGACAAAGAAAAGGAGTTTTATCATAATTGATTCCTTTTAATGAAAAAACTTAGCATAACAGAACATCCATCTTTATTATCCTTGTAAGTTATAACAATTCATTTAACCTTGCAAAAAGCACATTAGTACTCTTCCGCCAACTATTATGCAATTACTAGAGGGCAAAACTCTAATATTTTCAGACAGAATTGCAAGCAGTTTCCATAAATTTCCAGACACAATACCCTCTTTAATCAACTTTTAGCAATTACATAATCTAACTCTAACACTGTTTGCATACTAAGCTACAAAGACAGAAAGGAAGGGGGGGGGGGGGACAAAGCTCATCGCATAGCAGCGGCAAGCACCTTCTCCTTGCAGGAATAACAAATTAACAAGTAGCAAGCTCCAAGATGACAAAAGCAAAGCGAGCCACACTAGAAGAAAATTCAATCCCAAAGGACTTTTTACTTGATCAACCTTTACTAACAACTATTTTATCTTGAAGAATTAACAAAACAAAAAGTGCACTCCTAATGGACCATTCAAAGGATAAATGATTATTGCTTATAGTGGTACATCACCTAAATCAGTCAAAAGACAAGATCTTATAATGCAAATAACCCCAACATTCACCAAAATTAATAACAGAAAACTGAGCAAATCACATAACCACTATAACAGGTTGGGTTCGTTGCCATTACCTGCACGCCGTCACGTTTCTTGTTAACTGCAAAACAACATTAAAAGATAAAAAAAAAAGAAAATCAGTGCAAACATAACCACAGTATGCAGGACTGCAGGTAGAAATGGGAAAAAAAAATTACTGTCTCCTTCACTATATATGGGGGCCACATTTGATTTCTATGATTCAACCTCAGTAATTTTTTTTATGGAGTATCACTTTATTTTTTATTCTGAATGAGTCATAAGAGCATTACAAATTATGCAAGCCTTTAATCTTTGTCGAGCCTCATTGATATATTTTACTTCGTATCACTTAGCAAACAAATGACATTCAAGACGGTAGCAATAGTAATGTGTAAATTATGTCCCCAACATTATTGTGATGCATAAGGAACACAACAAATAGCAGTCCCTCCATCCGAAATTAATAGTCACATCAACGTAGATAGTGTAATTTGAACTAGTAACGTAACGATTAATTAAAATGGAACAAACCTTGTTGAGAGTCCAAAACAGTTTGCAAGTTCCAACCATTGCCATAACTTAGAAGAACAGAACTGGGTCCAAAATTAATGGGTTCTTCACCAGATTTAACAGCTTCAATGTACAAAGCATGAGGGGAAGTAGCATCCAGTTTATTATTGATCAAAGATATTGCAAAACCTGCCTTTGTTCCTGGGGCAAATCGCCTCACAATTCCTGAACTTTTGCAAGCCACCTCTAAAAACTGCGTCAATTTATATAGTATATGATTCAAAATTGAGCACAAAAAAAGTTGCAAAATTATTGAATTTTGATCTATTTGAGTTGTGGTTGTTAGGAAATAAACTAAGAGATTGATTTGAGGAAGAGAGACTTACGAGTGGAGGAGGGAGTTCTGAGGATTTTGAAGATTCTTTTGGTTCCGCCATTGTAGACTTTGCTCGTGAAATTTCCTGATTCCTTCTTTGACCTTTCTATTCAACCATCTCCGCTGGTTAATTGGATTTGGGCATTTGGGTAGTCAGTAAGACAGTAAATCGCAGATTCGCAGCCCTCGCACCGCAGTATGGTTACCAAAATCACACAGTACACTTTTGCGTGTGACTGGGCACACAACCACCTGACACACACCAAGTAAAACCTAACCGACGAGCAATCCTGACCGACCAAATACCCCTTGACTGACTTAATAACCCTGATCGAAAGAGTAACTTCTGATCAAATGAGTAATCCTATAGCACTAACAAAGTAACCCCCATAAATGATTGGCCACGTGATATGGCCAGTCATAAATGGTCAATCACATATGAAGACTTTTGGTACCAAATACTGTACCACATACTTGTATTTGATTTTATGGTATAAAAATGTGATTTTCTGGGTATTTCCCTACCAAAATTTGGAAATATTACAAAGTTTGCCGCTAAGAATTCCCCCACTACTCTCTACTCCCTCCTCATTTCTTTTGTAGTCCCTCTCATAACCCTAAGATTCATTTGATTAGCCTGAGTGATGTGTTATTACGAAGTACTTGTGATTTGGAATTAATATATACTATACACAAAGTATCAAAATAAAAAGATGTAAAAGTTTTTACTTTTTTTTTTTATTTTGAATTTAAAATTAGTCGTATACATTTTCTGTTTCAAATAAATGTTTCAATTTGACTTTTATACGAAGTAATATTCACTTACACCAAAGTCATCCATATATTAAGTATACAACATCTAAGCGTATGTCATTACATAAACAAATAATTGTTAAGTATTCTAAATAAATACAATGTAACTAATAATAATAAATATAAATTTAAACATAAGATTTTAAAAATTACCCGGACATTGATGACCTAAAACTAATACAAAATTCGCTTGATGGGGTATTGTATTAATACAAAATTTTATTTGTGTCGTATGATGTGTTAGATCTGCATGTAAAAAAATATTTAGTAAATAAAACATAAACACATAATCGTTGAGTATCCCAAATTAATACAATGTAAGTAATAATTAGAAATACTAATTTAGACATAAGATTTTTAAAATGAAGCTAAAAATTACCCGACCATTGATGACCAAAAATTAACACAAAATTCGCTTGATGGGGTTTTTTATTGATACGAAATTTTGTTTGTGTCGTATGATTTGTCAATTTATAATGGTAAGTATCGCAAATTTTAATTTAATTATAATTAACGAACAATTTGTATTTCTTATCATAAATACTATCAAAATTTATCTTATATGATAGGTTTCAAACTTTATAAGCGTTTATCATTTAAATTTTTTTTTAGTATATTTTTTTTTGGATTTCCTATACTCGTAGTATTGAATTAATAAATTTATCTTTTCTTATATTTTTACTTTATTTTTTTCATTAAAATAACTTAATTCGTGGATTATAATCTACTTGGCATTAAAATTTTAGATATATCAAGTCTAATTCTTTATTATTATCTAGGTAGCGATGCACGGTTTTTTTTTCATACATAAATCTCAAGAAAAGATATTTTCCTATAGACTCTAAGTTTATATATATATATATATATATATATATATATATATAATTATTTGATTTATTTTACTATTTAATAATTTTAGATGAAAAAAACACATAATAATTTAATTAAAGTGTTATTGCCTATTACAAAAGTATAATTTTATTTTTTTAAATGTAATTTATTATGCGACTTTATTTATTGTTGTGTTGTATTTTATTCGTTGTTGTTAGTTATATGACAACTGAATTTAATAATATGAATAAATTATAAATATGATATCTTTCAAAAAAAAATTGTAAATATGATATTTTTTCGATTACATATTAGGTTAAAATCTTTAATGTGAAAAGATTTTTTTTTTCATTTTTTGAATAATTTAAATCCTAAATCATTATTAGTTTTTTTTAAAAAAATAGAAATAATAAAAAATAATACTCCCTCCGCCCGTGAATATCTGCAACAAAGGACATATTTTCGGAATCCTAGGAAAAACTTTTAGGGGAGTGTTAATTGAGTTTTGGTGGGTTTAATTAATGAGAGAGAAAGGTAAAAATACAAAATTACCCATATAATGATATATATAAACTAAACTTTTAAGTGTTGAATAATAAGGGTATATTTGGTATTTGTAGTGTGAACACAAATATTTGTAGTGGGTTTAGGTAGTGGGTAATAGGTGGTGGAGGGGACCACTAACCAAAAAGTGGGTAATAGTGGGTAATTAATATTTAAATATTACCCAAAAAGGAAATAAAAACTTTTGTTGCAGATAATAAAAGCATCCGTTTTTGGCAAATGTTGCAGATATTCACGGGCGGAGGGAGTAAAAAAACATGTATGCTATTTATCTTCTATTTCAATAGAATCACCTACTTCGTTCACACCCATATCTCTTCCATCTAATAAAAGTGGATAAATAAAACATGTTACCAAAAAAAAAAATTTATAAAATTAACCGTTATAGTCTTATAAAATAAATCAATATATTTACCAGGAAGTGAAAAATTGTTGTAAAATTGATCTAAAAATTGTAATTGTACAAAATCAAATCTATGCATTGGAATTTTTTCATCGTCCCTAATCGCTCGAACAATAGTAATTTGAAAAATTGAATCATTATTTTGTTGTCACTGACAATGCGTGCAATATTGCTTCTTATTTGTGACGAATGAAAAGTATTTAATTGAGTAAACTTTTCTTTCAATTAATTATAGGACAAATTTTACAAAGTTGACTTTAATTGAGGTATGAACGTAATCAAAATTAAGTTAATTTGATGACTTGATTAAGCTACCTAAATCACAAAAAAATTGTTCTAATCATAAAATTAATTAATATAAACTACAAAGGTTTATAAAAAAATTTAATAAATGTAAACAATTTATAAAGATATAATACCTTCTCATCCAATAGGACCATCAGGCGAGAAACTCATACTTTGATTTTCCAAAGCTCGAATCTAATTCTCTGAATAAATCAGATCTACGTGTAAAAAAAAAATTCAGTAAACAAAACATAAACATATAATCGTTAAGTATTCCAATTAAAGACAATGTAAGCAATAATCACAAATATACATTTAAACATGAATTTTAAAATTTAAGCTAAGAATTACTCAGCCATTGATGACTAAAACTGACACAAAATTCGCTTGATTTGGTTTTGTATTGATACGAAATTTTGTTAGTGTTGTAGGATGCGTCAATTTATAATAGTATGTGTTTAGGGTAAAAGTTACCCTGGACACGTGGCCCTATGGGGATCTAACACGTGTCATCCCCCCATTGCACCATGGGCATCCAACCAATGGATGCCATGTGGCATCGTACCCCCAATGGGGGAGCAGGCCCATCTGCTATAAATAGAGGAATCTACCTCATTTATTGATATTCAGAAATACACCCACAAAACCCGAGCAATATTAATTGCGGAATCTCCCGGAATCCGAGAGAATCAATTTACCTTCTGCACGTGATTTCATCCGAAGTTATTCTAACTTGACCGTCGGAGGCGAAACTCCACCCAACCGGAGTTTCGTGGTTTTGCAGGTACAGAAGTCAGGCGTACATTCCCGGTGTTGTAACTCTCCCGTGGGACACCTCAAAAACCCCCGAAACATTTGGCGCCGTCTGTGGGGAGAGTACCACTTGGATGGCATCTGAAAATGTACTAAACGCAGAGGGCAGCCGACCCACTACTGACCCTGTGGTCCACACGGATCATGAAAGCGGAAGTGGTGACGACTGCAATGTCGAAACCTATATGGCCCCAGACGGGTCTTTCCGCTCCAGGCGCACCCGTTCCAAAGAAAGAAGGGAACGTGGTCTGGACAAGGCTTGCCCCAACAACCCAGGCGGCAAGCATACCGGACAGACCCAGGCGGCGGAGGGGTCGGCCCCCGTCACCAGAGATGAGCTCATGAACCTCATGAGTAGCTTCAAAGGGGAAATCACCGACATCCTCAAAAAGTGAGCTGGTTCCAACAAGGGCCAGTCGGCTAAGAGGGCTTCAGGAAAGAAGCCCACCAAAGACCGGGTGCCTACCCCTCACCCAAAGCCTAGAGGGGGGATGGGCCCCTAATCGACCTCTCAAAGATTCGTTTCCCCGAATCAGGGCAGCGAAAGGCCATCCGGCAAATACAGCCGGATGGTTCAAAAAAGACTTTCACAGATGCCCGGCTGTTTATCGAAGATAAGAGAGGTCAGAGTATGTCCCAGACGGCCTCAACGTCGACATACCCAGACAGCTTCCATAATTCTTCGATCAAGCATTCAGAAACTCACCTGAGGAGCCACGCGCATGACACGTCCGTCCGTACTGCCCCTCATGTGATCCACCAGGCTCCATTTGGGACTCAGCAGCCATTTGGAGCTGGATCACCATACATGCAGCATTCTCCTTTTGGGAGAATGGCGAAAAATACCGTCCAGCCCATGGACTGGCAGCTCAGGCTGCTAAACCTAGGGGAACAGCCTTCAGCTTTCTCCCGCGAAATAACCGAGGCGGCACAGCCGGCTAAGGTTAAGAATGTGTTGGTTGGTACCTACGATGGCACCACCAACCCAGAAGACCATTTGATGGCGTACACCAACCTCATGTACCTACAGGGGTTGGACGACGCGGCCTGGTGTCGATGTTTCCCGGCAACACTAAAGGGCATAGCCCAACGGTGGTTCGGCAACTTGCCGGCTGGGTGCATCAATAACTTCAAGACGCTTGCATATTTGTTCGCGTCCAACTTCTCCATGAATATCCCAGCCAAGAAAACCAGCCTCGACCTAGGGCGATCCGGCAGGGTGACAAGGAGGGACTTCGGTCCTATGTCAGGCGGTTCAATCTGATGAGAATTCAGATACAAGGACTGTCTGACGAAGTTGCGTACACAGACTTCTTCAAGGGTCTGAAGGATGGGTCGACATTCAAGTTCGACCTAGTTCGCAAGAGGGTCGCTACCCTCCAAGAGGCCCTAATGGAAGCTGAGGCCTATATACAGGCGACGGAGCTCTGTGCCGTCAAGCACACGTCAGAACCCAGGAGGTCTGACGTAAAAGAGAGCCGGTTCCAGCAGCCGGCCAGAAAGGAAGAAAAGAAAAGAAAAGAAGTCTGGGCAGCTGACCGCCCAGGTCAGTCATCCCAGAAGAAGCAAAAGAAGTTGGAACCGTACGTCCCCAAGTACGAGTTCAACAAGGACTGCTCCTCCATCCTCATGGAGATAAAAAACCGCTTGACTATTGAAAAGCCGGCTCCCCTAAAGAGCGCTGTCAAGAATCGGGATAAGAGCAAGTATTGCCAATTCCATGAGGACATTGGCCATGATACCAATGGCTGCTATAGCCTCAGGCGGCTATTGGACCGGTTGGCCGATGAGGGGGCTTTGAAGTCCTACCTGACAAAGTCCAAGGGTAACCCTGCAAATAGAGGGCAGTC